AGAGAGAGAGAGAGAGAGAGAGTGTGTGTGTGTGTGTGTGTTTGTGCGTGTGAATGTGTTTATATATACACATATCATATTGATTTTGTTTTATGTGTTTTATATGTTTTATACATATGCATAAAATATGTATGCAAATACATGTGTATTATGGAGAAAGTGAGAGAGGATCACAGATGTATGTAGAAACACGACATTTCCTCGCCTAGCACCAACAGTCGCCGTAGTCAAACAAAACTAGGATTCTGATTCCACTTTAAATAAATAAACAACAAACCAGAGTCACAAATGTGAGCCATAGAAAGAAATGGACCCTAAGAACTCGAGTTTCAGCTTTTGGGAGGATGAAATAGAAACCAAGGCCTGGAATGATAAAGATCTATAATATTATAATATACAGCAATATCCTAAAAAGCATTGGAATGACCGTACACACACTTTAGGGTAATCCATATATTCTTGAACAGTCTTGGCACCATCAGATCAAACCAACTTTAAAACGCTTTATTCGTAGTAAGGGACTTGGGAATCCAACGTGGCATAAGTTGAGAAAAGAGAGGCATGAAAAATGGAGTTCATTTTTTTCTCGCCTGCTGGCGTTTTCAGTATGACTTTATTCACATATGAACAGCAATCTTCATGTAGGTTTTTGATAATGACCTTGTGTCAAATAATATTCAACAAACTGTGTTTCGGATAAAAACTAACTTCAAGGACTTGATTTGATATTGTGCTTCGTAATAATTCAATTGAAACGCCATTCGGTGAAGTTTCTTTACTTTGAGATATACCCAGAGTTTTACAATTATTCCTCCTTCATCTTTCCGTCAAACAGGCAACCAAGAACGGTATTGTTGACATATGAAAATATTCAGGTCGCTTCTTAAGAAACAATATGTTATCAAGGATATTGACACAATCATTAATATTCCATTTTGAGATTACTACTGTTGAAGATTAACGATGTTCTAGACAGGTATACGTCTCTTTGAAGGCAGATGACTTGCTTCCTCTTATGTACAAGTCCCAACATGAAAGAACTAGTTTTTTCCCAAACAAGAAGGTTGTGCTCACACGCACCTTGCAACCATTATCATGATGCACATAACATCTTGTGTTTGTAACACAATGGATATCCAGTCTATACTGTCGCCACGACATTGTCACACTGTAGGTACCGTGTTGTCGTAAATGTTCAGTGTATTGTACACAGCCAAGATGGCTAAGGCAACAATTGTATTCTTCTGTCTTTGATACCCCTACCTCTTCCCCGAGCCGACTCTTTTGATCGTTGGTGAGTAGTTGCCAGGGTTACCAAACTGTTGGGGTCCGCCCACAAAGGTCGGGGAGTCTGTTCTCCGGAGGTACCTCATGTCTCCGCTGTTTCTCGGGGATCGTGAGCCAAGAGCCATCTCGCTGCGAATCAGATCCGCCGGCATGCTGCGCGTGAGGTTTGGTTGGTGGTACCTCGGTCCAGGCCCTCCTCTCATCAGGACTTCCTCTTCTTCGTCGTCCAGGTAGTCAGCAGGGGGAATGTCTCTCGGCGACACGTTTCCGTTAGGGAGGTATTTCCCCTTAGCGGGCAGAGCGTAGATATCGTTGCTGGAGCCGCCTTTGTAGTAGATTGTTCCATTATTTCTGGCAGTGGGCGGGGCTCCCTCGCTTGAGTGATGGCTGTTGAAGCTGTTGCTGGAGCTCTGGCGAGACAGGTGATGGGGGCGCTGGACCGGGTAGGCGTGGCCCACGCTAGGGCTCATGGGTGGGCTGTGCTTAGCTCTGGGCGGGTACACTCCTTGATCGACAGGCATCTCCGGGGACGCTGACCGACTCCCGGAGTGGTGGCTGCTGTGATGAGAGCTACCACGGCCGATAGAGTCCCCTCGCTGGTGACCTCCTCCCATAACGTGGACGGGGTGGTTGTTGCCATGGTCAACGAAATCTGAGAAGGGAATAGGCGTCTGTTGTGGGTGGAACTGGTGTGCCTGTGGTTGTTGTTGTTGTTGCAGATGCTGGATGTTGTTTTGGTGGTTGTTGTGGTGATGCCGTTGCATGCTGGGGGAAGCCGGGTCGCCACCAGAAGTGACGCTAGACCCATCCGGGCCGTCACTCGTGGGTGATGTAAGATCCACCCCGCTCTCACTGGAACCGTTTCGTTCCTTCTTTTCAGAGGCCCAGTCGCCTACGACCTGCAGATTGAGACATCTCCGCCTGTTGATATGCTCCAGGTTTCCGTGAGCTCGGCTGATCGTGTCGTAATCTTTCGGCGGAAGCAGAAGAGGTTTATCTGCCATCTGCAGTCGAAATTTGAGCTCGTCCGCCACATTGTCAAAGGCCATGACCTCGTGGAGGCTCTGAAGGTCAGGGTCAATGTCGTCACTTCCTGACGTTGGCGGTTCCTCGTCACTGTAGGCGCTAGAGGCAGAACCCACGGCGGAGTCTGTGGTGTGTTGCTCGCTGAGACCGTCGGAGGAGGACAGGCGAGGGTCTTCGATCTCGCCGCGGTTAGCCAGGTCGATCTCTACGTCACGGATGTGGTCCTTGTTTGAGTCCACCAGCGTGGAGATCTGGCGTGCGAATGTTGCCGCGGTGGTGGCCTCGTCAAACCTGGGGTGGAGAGAGATAGAGAGAAGGAAGGAGAGTAAGAAGTTAAGTACCTTGTGGGG